TTATTCTTCAAAGATGCTCCCTATAAAGATTTCAACTTATAAAAAGGGGAGAGAAGGCCAGGGAATGTGATGGACCTTAGCTGAGGGAAGTAGTTGTTCTCAAAGAAACTTCTTCATGCCTAGGGCTTGCCACAGACTCTTCTCTCCCTGTACCTAAGACTCAGTGTGCTTCCCTGCAAACAAATGGGAAACCAGCCTATTCACACAAAGAAAATGGGCCAGCATCCCACAACAGCAGGAAGTCTGTGGCTCATCACACCTGGAGGGGGTGGAAGGCGGGGCTGGGAAGAGCCTCCAAAGACAGAAGACAGAGCGACTAGAGAATATCTCACCCACACAGACCAATGTGTTCACACTGTCACCATCAGATGAGGTTTGCTGGAGTTTTTTTCTTGTTTATGTTCTGAATGTTCTAGATTCTATGAGATAGGTATTAGTATTAACCCAACTCTATAGATGAAAACTGAATAGTCTCTGACATTTTAATAGAAGCCAAAGGAGGCAAAAAATATTTTACCCAAAATTCTGCTTTATGGAAGCCTCTCTTGCTTTAAATAAATTGTGCTTTTCAAGGTAAGAGTTGTAATCTAAAAGTCTTCCTTGGGGCATATTTTGCCACTGAATATGACAATTGGCATGGACTCTCAACATCCTAACTGTATATGGAACATTTATAAATATCACAGTGTCTTTTTTCCCTGCTGCAAACACCACACCGCTTATTCTAGCAAGTTCACCAAGTTGGCCGTGTCGCCGACAACAGCACTTACATGTCATGTTGACCAGCTTGTCCACACTGTGCTGCTCCTCTCCGTAGCTGAGGTACTCATTGGCCACAATCTCCATGTACTGCAGGAAGGATCAAACCAACAAGCAGGTCAGAAGGAAGGACACCGAAAGCACACAAGAGGGAGACAAGATTGTGCAGTTCTTAAAATGAGCTATAGGTGGCACCAGAGATTCACCAAATAAGACTGGGCCTGTTTCAGTGCAATAGGTTCTTGGGTTTCTGGATTCTTCGCCTTCTCTTGCATGCCCTGAGGTCGAGAGAGACACTATCTAAAGATTGAATAAACTCTCAAAAGTCCCAAAATGACTTGCAACTGAATAAGTGTATGGTATAATTTAGTATCCAATCTAAAATACATATAAGGTACATAATACACAGGGCATAGAATTTTAATTCTTTAAAGTACCTTGTTAATAGAATTTTTATAACACACTGCATATATTTTATTGACCTTATGTTTTACAATATCTGAAACTATATCTAACCAGCCTACATGTAAGTAGCAATAATCAGAAAAAAATGGGTATGAGGTAGGCTGATAACTTCCCACTGTGGATAATTAATTACAATAAGAAACAGGCTCAGAGAAACACATAATTTCTGCTACTACAATGGAAGTTAAAATGGATAAGAAAATCCTTTACAATATAATCTAAAAGATAATTTCATTAAAAGAGGTAGCCAATTAAAAAATAGTTTTAAGCAAAAATTAAACGTGAAACAATTTTCTAAAAATGAGAATATGATAAAATAAATTTAACATTAATTGCCATAAATTTAATCTATCAATAATTCAGAATGAGTCTATTATAAAAATTATTCTTTGCATACTCATTATAGGTTTTAGGAGACTGGTCTGTTCCAACTCAATGTCGTGACCAGAAATTTTGTTCTATTGTATTAACAAATGCAAACTTTTGAGCTGCTCAGTGTATCTATTCACCTGTTTACCCTCCCTCACTAGTTACTAAAGCAGAAAAATAATTGAAGTCAAGATCATTCCTTACTTCAACATTTATTTGTTAATATTTTAGTGAGCACAGTAATTCTTTTTCTGTATGAAAAAGTTTTGAACATCTTCATAACCAATATTTTCTCCCATCATATGGTATATACGATGCTGAAGACAAGTCATATCAGCCAGGTCCTACTTCTTGTCATTACCATACGTGACCTTTTACAGCACTTTCTCATTTCAACAGGCCCAATTTGCCAGAACTAAATGTCACGGTCCCCGCCTGCGCTGTGAGTATCATGCTTCACGCTCACACCATCAACCCCACCTGCCCCTCCCCTGGCAGGCAGCATGACTTAAAAAAGCCATCTTCTGTCACACACCTATCTAATCCTTGTCCAGAGCAGGCACAAGATGAAAGGGCAAGACCAGTCACCGCATAAGAAATCTTACCTGAGCTAGGTTTTCAATCCCACCCAAGCTATGGAGTATTTCCTAATAAAATAAAAACAACAGAACATATATAAAAGATGGGGATGGAAGGGGAAGCATATTTTCTATGCAAATTCTTTCAAAAGTCATAAGAGTTATAATTATTTGTTGAAGGGCCACATTCTAACATAAATATGGAACATTTGGTGTTTGTTGTTCATACTACATTTAAGGTAAACCATTAATAAATATAAAAGCCAGGGTGAGGTTAAGAGAATGTACATTGGTTCTCAGAGAATGTATATGTTCTCTGCTTGACTCCTCCTTCTATTTACTTCTTCCTACGTCATCATAAAATGTTAGAGTTGGGAAGAGCT